GCTGTAAGTGCGGGGTCGTAATGAGCCCGTTTCCTCGTCTGTGATAACGCAGTTACGGAAGAGGGCTGTTCATGCTTGCGGGTAACTGCAAAGGTGCTGCCAAAAGGACTGTTTGGCTTCTTTTTTTTTTAAATTTCCTGAGTTGTTTTGTTCCAAGAGAGAGTCTGTGCAGTTCTTGAGGGGAAGCTTGAGAGCGGTGCCTGTGGGCTGCTGTGCTGTAGAGGTCTGTATGGGGAACCCACAGAGGCCGGTATGGGAACAAAGAAAAGACGACTTTCTTTACATGTTTAAGTTTTCTAATTAGCAGCTATGTTTCAAGTAAATTTGTGGCAGGTACCAGAAATTAAGTACACCTGCTTACAAAATACTAGTATTCTTTTGAGAACTGCGCTTCTATTTCACGGGACTTCAATTTTTGCAAAGAAAGTTACTGTAAAACACTTTTAGAAACATAACAACATAAATTTAACTCCTGTCCAGTTCTACAAGTATCATCCACGCAGCATTTTAAAGTTACCTGTGGTAAATTGGCATAAAGCAAAACATTCGTAAACCTGAAGTAGATATTCTGAATTTACTGTCTTCTCCTTGGTGATAGCATGTATTTGTCTAATGTTCCTGTTTGGAAGCAACGATTGTTATGCTATTTAAAGGTTAGCACTTGAAAGTTGCTTCAACTCTGCAGTAGCCACTGTTTTCTGTTTCCTGAGAAACGGTTTAATTTCTCTGTTGGACATAACATGGTTAGAGCCTAGGGCATACAGGAACCTCAGGTGTAATAATGTCAGCCTAGTTAGGTTGATGGAAGAAAGGCAGAGCCACGCTTTTAATCCTTGTAATACATAAAGGACTTACACTAAAGCAGAGAATATTCTTTCCTTATTGTTACAATATAAAATCAGGGAATTTCAAGGAATTGTTTTATAACTGTAGTCCTTTGGAACAGGTTGGATGGAGGGCAAGAGGATGGGTAGTGTTGTGGTTAATGCATTAAAGCTCTTAATAGTCACAGTGTTGGAACATTAATATGTCTAGAATTATGAAAAATTAGATTTTTGAGCCTTAAAAATTATAACCTCTTATCTTGGAGAAAGGGAGAATGCTCCATCATGAAAAAGGAAGGGTATCTTGACATAGTCTCACTGGATTTTTTTCCTACCAGTGTGTTTAAACGATGCATTTAGTAAGTCTTGGGCATTTTTGCTAGTAAATAGTCAAATCTATTCCTGCAGTAATTGCAGTAATGTTACATCTAGCAGGAATATGGTGCAATTCACTGTAAGAAAAAACCCCCTTATTTCCATAGTGGGACTTATTTCATAAGAAGGTTGTGGAAATTTAGTTTTACATGGTAGGCTTTTCAGCTTTATGCTCCTATGAGTGTAGCTAATACAGATGGTAACACTGATGTGTTTAGTTTGTACACGAGACAGAAAAGGCTTTTACTGTTTTTCAGTATGCATGAACGCTACTGGAGTATCATAGAATGTTAGGAGTTAAAAGGGACCTTGGAGATCATCTAGTCCAAACTCACTGCTAAAACAGGTTCACCTAGAGCAGATCATGTCCAGGCAGGTTTTGAGTATCTCCAGAGAAGGGGGCTTTACAGCCTCTTTGGGCAACCTGTTACCCTCACAGTAAAGAACTTTTTCCTCATGTTCAGATGGAACTTCCCGTGTTCCAGTTTGTGCTTGTTGCCCCTTATCCTGTCACTGGGCACTGCTGCAAAAAGCCTGGTCCTATCCAATATTGTTACAAAGATGTGACTTGGTAGATGAAGTGCAGTGGGTACAATAAGTTGATATTGGAAAAGGTATCGAGAAATTACTAGTGTGCATAGCTCAAAATACATGTTAAGTGTTTTATGCTGCAGTATAATGATCACTTTTTATTACATTTGGGCACTTAGGAATTGTGAAATGTTTTTTCTAGAGGTGATTGGAGCTTTAAATTATGAAGAACAAAACACACCTGTGAATAGGACCTTCTAGGAGAGACTGGAATCTTTTTACCTGGCTAATGTGCACAAATTACTTCTAGGTCAGAAGAAAAATAACCCCAGATACAAGAAGGTGAAGTGTATGACCACAATGAAAAATTAAAAAGGGAGCAGAAAATTCTTCCAGCTATCTCATAATGATGTTCCAAATTTACTTTCGATGCTTACAATTTTAGGTTTTGGTATAATTTCTACTTTTCGTGTGTGTTTGGTGATACGAAGACTTGACAGTTTTCTTCTTGAATTTGCTGGCAGCAACTGTTACGCTTTAAGGCTGATCAGTATGCTCCATTATAAGCCATAGAGAACAGAAGATTTACAATTTCACAAGGAGTAAGCACTTGAATAAAATGTAAGCCTTCTAGCTCAGGCTTGGACTCGTTTTCGTAGGCTGCAACAAGCTGTATAGCTGTTTGAGGATATTAGTTAAGACTAAGTACACTGTTCTGTCTGTGTTACGATTTTTCCCTACTTCTCCCCACCCCCCACATGGGCTTTCATTCCTCTCTGGTATGAAAGTAGACACTAATCATTTCACTAAGACCTTTTGCTGTTGCTTGGGCTGTACAGTGTAATTTGTTTCACGTGAAGTTGCAGGTTGCACATCCTTCCTTGGATCTGGTGCTGTGAAATTCCAAAACAAGCTCCATTCTGCATCACTTCCATGTTTAAATCTGTACCCCATACTTATCACTCTTTAATGCAATATATCTGAAATATTTTGTACTGTTTTAAACTAGCTGAACAGCACAAAATCTTTTGAAGTGTATTGCACAGTTCAAATTAAGGTTCAACATCCTGTCTCATTCCATCATTATTTTATGAGGAGCGGGGAGTAAAAAGTGAGAAACGGGCAACTGTGTGTGGCCTCATAAAAATGGGTTCTTAATCTTGAGGTTCCCAAGCTTTTGAAAGTCAAGAACCTCATAGTTGTGGTGTGATGTCAAGATGTAGATTTGCACTTTCTGAAGCAGAGAGGAAGTAAATATGGTTATTCTTTATCATCGGCATGCATTCCCAATACTGATGTTTTTTATTCCCAAGGGTGTAATGCGTGTATGTTGCAACATCACACACACAAAATGCTATTTTGTCTTTTAGTTGTGTTTTCAGGCAAAACAGCGGGCCCTGTGTCTTGCATGGAGCTCTTATCTGATAGATGTAATCTCTGCCTGTTAGATTGAGTTTCTCCCGAAGAGATTAGCAGATGAACGTAATTACTTCTGGCTACAAAGCAGGTACTTCAGTGGTTTGTGCAACCATCATCATATTTTACTGCTGGGTCTAGTAAGGGTTTTTTTAATTCCTCTGGCACTGTGATCAGGCATTAAAGATGTAAGCTGTATTATGATTCCTTTAAGATACTGTAGACTGTACAGTTTTCATGGTGGAATGGGGCTTAAGTAAAAGTGAAGTCAAGTCACTGTGTCAGTGTTCTTCTCTTGGAAAAAAAAATCCTTTAGCATTACTTTTGGCATACTTACTGTTTTTAAAGAAGCTTTTGTTTGGACTAAAATGTGATTTATATGTTTGGCCATATGGAAAGGCAAGACAATGTAAAATGTGTGTGTTTTAAAATCACTAATTAGAAAGAGCTGAAACTATAAAATTTACATGGTGCATCTTAATTGCTGTGAGTAATGCGAAAGCTTTGAAATGTGATCCTTGCTTAAGATACTAATTATATTCTGACTAGTCAAGGTGCACCTGTTTTGAAACAAGTCTGAGCTGGTCCCTTCCAAGGACATAGTATTCCCAATGCCAAAGGTGGAGAAACAA